CTCTGAACTGTTTTAACTTTGTTTTGCTTACAGCAGGGTTGGAATTATTGAGTAAACCCAGAGCATTAAGTGGAGTCATAGAGACGTCTCCTATAGTGCAACTATGATTGCTGCACTTTTCCTTGACTGTTTTTTGTTACATTCCTCAGTAATTTATTTTTACTAGGTAATGCAGTGGTTTCAGTTTGTGTTAAGTTTCAAGTGATGTTCTTGAAGATCTCATGAAAAGGGTGCGTGTGACCCTTTTGAATAAAAAGAGACGATGGAAACTTTGTTGTTTGTTTGTGTGGGACATTTGGGTCTGATCTTTCATATAGTTTCTGCCAAGTCCTTGGCTTAAAGCACATTGTTGACATTATTATAGTGAGTATCAAGTGAGTAGGTTTGAAGGTAGATACAGGCACAATGAAATTAGCCACAATTTGCATTGGTACAGAGAACTAGAGCTGACATGTAAGAGAATGCTTCACATAAATGCAAATATTGATCATGTCTGCAGCTCCTGAATGCCACCGCTGTGGGAGACACAACTGTATTAACCTCAAATGCACCTGCTTTTTTAACTCAAACTCCATTACATTTTAATGGAAAAAACATTGTACTAGTGTGTTATTTACCTCACAGTCGCTATTTTAATGTTTCATCCTGTGTCAAGATTAAAGAAGTCAGTATTTTTGTTGATGCTCAGCTGATCATTTTTAACACAGAAGAAGAAACAACAGTTCACATAATTTAAAGAGAATGCACATTAGTCTTTAGTCACATTTTAGAGGGATAGTTATTGAACACTGCACCTAAACATTTGACTGCATTCATCTCACATTGTAACCACCCAGAATCAGTTCAGCATGCGATGATGGAATTTAATCTAATTTGTTGTAAGTCGCTTTGGATAAAAGCAACAGCTAAGTGAAATGTAATGTAATTTCTACAAGCTAGGGGTCAAGACACTAAATGAAGCACTTAAATAAATAAAGCTTAACATTACTCCAGACGATCCTTGCAGCGAAAACATGGCCAAATAATGGCATTCTTAAATGAAACAGGTCTCATAGAGAGAATCTAAGGTAGTTTTTTTTTTACTGTTTTGACTCCCACTCCTCTGATCCACACTCCAGTCCAGTAGATGGCAGTGATAAGCTGAATTGCCAACCTCCATTAAACCAATAATAAACCTGATAATTTAACAAATTAGCAAAACAACACACAGCGCAAACAAGGCTTTGTTTGAACTAGTTCATGTGTATCGATGAGGAACACGACCAACACCAAGAAAGAGCTCTACCTGGCATGCATTACAACCCGGAAGTAAAATCGTTACGTCCGGTTCATGCATCACATGTTTTATCTCCTGTGAAACTTGAAGTTTGTTCAGCCGCTTCCGTTGAACACAAACCACCAAACCACCGCAGTCTGTCTATTGGCGCTGATGTGTGCCAACATCTGCGGCGTTTTAAGGCTGTGTGCGCTCAACAGATTGAGGACGAGGCGGTGAATGACCTCTCCGAGCGTCTATTTTAGGGGTAAACAGAAACACTTTAGCTCTCAGCTGATTTAAAAAAGAAAGTACTTGCTAGCTAGAGACCTAGATACCATTTTACTATAAGCGATATGTTTTCGTTGCAGTATTTACGGTGTATTTGGACGGTTAATGAACGGGCAGATGTGTACTTATGAGGATTCATCCCTTCAATAGACGAGCTTTGGACACTGGGACCGGTCTCTGGAGCTCATCATCATGGTCACACACTGTGTCAGACACTGTGTCACACGCGTGCACACAATGTGCACACTCCTCTCAACACAAGCCTCGTTCAAAGCCTCGCAGCGGAGTATAGCTGTTGTCACGCGGTCCTCCAGGGGGCGCTGCAGCTCATCGTGGAGCGGAGATGTGGGTGAGGTGCGGACTCTGCTGCAGCTCTGCGTGGACAGACACTTCATCTCGCCCGGGCACACCAACACCGAGCTGTTCGGCCGCGGACTCAGCTGCAGCTATGGGCCTCTGGGCATGGAGCTGAGGAGGAACCTGCTGGAGCAGTGGTGGCTCTCCGTGAGCCGGGCCAGAGCTCAGCTGTTTGGGATAAACACCCTGAGCAGCAGCCGCAGGGACGGAGACACAGAGGGAGGGGGACAGCTGAGGATGGTTCAGGCGGACAGTTTAAGACACATAATTGAGCATCAACATCTGAGCAAGGAGCAGATGATCCAGGATGTGCAGACGCTCCTTCGGAGGTCCCCATCACTGAGAACAAACTTACTTCAAGGTGAACTGCTGCTCAACGTGTTCCACTAAGTCTTCAGTTCGTATGATGTGACATGTTCTCATTGTTCATGTCCTGTATTATGATGACCCCCTCCAGCTCAGCCAGTGCACTTACTGATCTGAGCCCATCACAGTTCAAACAGCACCAATCAATAGCTTCAGGTTCGGAACATATTCAGTTGGAGTTTGTTTCTCATGTTTGAAGTTTTCACGAAAGCTTCAACTCAGGGCAAAGAAATCCTCCCATCATGTGCCTGAAATAAATAAATGCTAGAGCTCGAGAGGAGATGCTGATATCAAAGTGTACAAGTAAAACATTTTCTTCTACAAATAGATCAAAACAAATATTGGCAATGATTCCTAAGATAACCCTTATGACAGAAAAATCGAATAGTCGCTTAATCGTTAAATCGTAGCTAAATAGTTTGATGGTTTAACCATATGCTTTATTTTAAATAACTGAATAAAAGGAACACACAAATATAAAGAACTTAATCTTTTAATGTTAACACAATTTCAATATTCTGCATTGTTTATTCTGTTAAATAAGTTTTCACATCGATAAACATAAAATGAAAAAAGACTCATAATGACCTATCTTGATTGTCCATACGATAAATCAGTCTCTTTTAAAATGTGTATTGGCTCCAATGATATTTTCGAAGTCACTGGTTACAACCAATATTGCACGTGTCAAATTTCAATCACCTCACCTGACAGCTGCGACGCAGCATTAGTGGCTACAGGGAAATATTATGAATGTTTAAAAAGGTACTATTCATTGACACCCAGATTTTAAAATTCTGGAATTCCCCTTAACAAATTCTGCATCTTCTGTTAGGTGCCTTGGAAGAGTTTGTCTCCTCGATGGAGCTGGTGAACAGGAAGTTGCCTTTCGGCCTGACTGAGACTGGTCTGTGTTTTCAGCCCTCAGATGGTTCTGGTTGGTGAGGCTTCATCTTCGTCTGTCTTCTGTTTGGTGTAGACGCAGGCTTATGAAAAATATAATATGTAACTCGAAATCTTCTTACACCATTCATTCTCCAGGCTGCACACAGTCTGCAGTCCAGTCTATAACCAAAGCCAAACAATCCCATGTTAACAGATTGGATGTTGATGTACGCTACGTTTGCATTTACTATGTTGTTCTATACTATTCATTGTATTTATATAAAAGAGGTGCTTTATTTCATAACAGAATAGTACTACTTCAACACAGTTAAGTGTAGTACTACTATAGTTATAATGCATCTGCTCTTTTTCTACCAGCCCTGCTGAGGTCACCCAGACGTCTCTGGTGTGGTTCTGCTCTCCTCGCACCTCTCCTCAGTGGCTCGATCACTGGGCACGACAGAGGCTGAAATGGTGGAGAAAAGTGAGTATTGTTTGGAGTGAACTGCCACAGGTTCACTAAAGTCTGCTTTATGTCATTTTTAAGCCAATTTGGTTTTCACTTAAAATGAACAGTGCAGAAACTAGTTTTTTTAGCCATTAAAGGAGAGCAAAAGTAGATTTTTACGAAAAGCAATAATAAAAGACAAAAAATGTTCCTGCTTGACCTTATTGCTGCTCTCTGTAACAGTAGTTTATCACAGACTGTAGAAGAAATCCTAGAATGGCACAGCCCTCGTCTCAATGTCCAGTATCGACTTCTTCAGTTTCCACTCTGCTTAAAAGCTAAAATTATTTTCTACACAACAAATTCTTTTGTTGTCTGTAGAGTCAGAAGTGATGAGGCATACCACAGACAAAGTTTCATTGTATTCAAACAGAACAGATCTTAAGTATTCCTCAGACAAACCCATTTTTGTCATGTCAAAAACTTGTTCGAATGAATGATACTGTGATTAATCGGTAGTTATATCATCTGCCAATGTTGTGCAGTGCCAGCTGGAGTAGTGATTTTATTCTATATATTCTCACATTAAATATGTTAACTAGATGATTACAAGCCCCATTTCCTGAGGGTCAAGGTCAGAAATGCTTTGTTCCAAAAGGCCAAATATATACGATTATAAAAATTCGAAACATACTCTCCATGATCTTCCTGTAACTTCTACCAGAGAGGGATTTGATGGAATCCCATTGGCTGCTTGGTCAAGAGAGCATAATGAGGACTACATCAGGATTACATAACTTACTGTCTTCCTTCTTCTCTTTCAATCCATCCTTGTCCAGTTTTCCCTGTCTCCCTCCGACTTCAGCAGCAGCGAAGTCCCGGCAGAGGAACTCGTGGGGGCGGCGTCTCGTGGTGTGAGGATCGTCTACAACTTCCCGTGGGGACCAGAGCCCCTGGAGACACTTTGGAACCAAGGAGACGCTGAGCTGCTGCAGACACACAAAGGATTCCGAACTAAATTGCAGGTCTGTCTGCTTCTTTCTCTCTCTCATCGTCTTGACACAACCTTTTTTTTTATGAGCTTTCTCACACGGCTGCTACACTGACCTGTCAAGCTGCTTCTGCTGAACAGTTGCTTTGTGGTTGCACCATAAATATAACAACCAGACTCATTTGCACCATAATAATAATATCTGATTGATTATTAAGATATAATAATCCGTATATGCAGAAATCTTCACAGGTGTGATAAATATAATGAAGAATGGCTGCATCCCATTTAGCTTTGCCACTTACAGGACCCTGGTAATGGGATGGTGATTCACTGGTTTGGCTTACTGGTAAATTGTTGTTAGTTAATCCTGTTAAGTCAAATGTGTCTGCTCTTTTTTATTTCCAGTTCACAAATTATGATTTGTGTTTAGAATAAACTCATTGTAAATTTCACAGTCACAGTTTGAGATCTGGTTGATTAAACATATTCATCACAAATATTCTGTTTGGTTAAAATGACCATGCAAGGAAGAACTATTCAATATTCAATCAGCTATCTCAGTATTTAGTGTAATCACGTTCAATGTTATTTGTTCTGAAAAACATATTTCAGCTTGGAAACAGGCGCAAGTCAGTCCCTCATGTCGTATCTGTGACCGGGAACATGGACCGAGGTTTGATGGCCTTTCTGTCCAACTCGCTGCAGCTGCTGAAGAAAGGAGACAGCAAGCAGAGGCTGCTGCAGAGAAAGGTAATGATGAGTTGAGCTGAGCCTCATTTGAAAAAATAAATACATGTTTTACTCATAATTTCCTAACTTCTGTCTCTTCTGACACTCTGTTGCTGAGTTTTGGTTCTCCATTGATTTCAGGTTCTGAAGCTGCATCCAGTGTTGACTCCAGTCAAAGTGGCTTTAGACATTGGCAAAGGAGCAACTATGGAACTGAGACAGGTAAGAAAAACATGTATCCCATGTCCCAATTCGTCTCGCTTGGCCCCACCCCTAGATATGAAGAGCCCTTCACTGGGAGTGTTCCCCCTCCAAAAGGAGCCACAAGGTTAGGGCCAGAATATCTTCCCGAGGAGTTGGGACACCACAACTCAGCACACCAACGTTATTACAGTGACAAACAATGTCAACTAACAACCAACATTATAACAATGATACATCTGATGACTGCAGGACAGACAGGATAGATTAATCTATTGATTGATGACAGTCTACATTTTTTATGGTTATTTTGAGAGTTTTCATACTTACATTTAGGAGCATTTTACCAACAGTGGTCACCATCTTGATTTGCTTCATCCGTTCATCAATCATTCGCCAATTTCCATCTACCCCTTCATTCTTACGGGGTCCTGAACACGGTTGGAGGGGTCTTTGAAGGGCTAGTAGGCCACAACTCCTACATCATATAGAGAAATGGCACAACACTACCCCTTCAAGGCCACTTAAAAAATGAAGGGGTAGGGCCTATTAACCATAGACATGAATAATGAAGTGTCTTTTTATTTGTGCTACTTGACATTAATATTTCAAGTGATAGAATCACCACAAAAGTTAATGTTATGGTTAGGGTTGACTGTAGAGCAGACAAAGGCACTCCTAAATCTCCACACTCACCATCAGATCTTTCCTGACAAATGTAAAGATGCATGCTCTTCCATGCAGCAGGGTTAGTCTGACGCTTGCTCACTTTCACATATTCCTACATGTCCAGCACTTGTAGAAAAAAATTGAACGTTGGCTTGGTTCTGAGTTAATGGGCTAAGACTTGGTGTAGATTGAGAGAGAGGTGGGTGGTCTGATTCCACGAGCTCCAGAACTCCTCCAAATCTGAACAGCATGTTCCAAAAAACTGACAGTGAGATTTTCCCGACATATCCCTTTTACGTGTTTTATAGGTTTGTGAAGGCCTTCTGCAGGAGTTCATGGAGTGTAAGATCTCCGTGTGGCCCGGGTACCTTGAAACTGTGCCAACATCAATGGAGCAGCTGCACGCCAAGTAAACAGCTACTCAGTTTTGTAATGGAAGCAGAGCTGGAGCAAATGAGTGATGTTTTGCCTGCTTTGGAGTCAACATCTGTATCTGGTCTCTTTGTCTTTGCACTATAGGTACGATGAGATGGGAGTGCTCTTCACTGTGGTGATCAGCGACAACACGTTGGAGAGTGGACTCCTTCAGGTCCGCAGCAGAGATACAACCATCAAAGAAACTATGCACATCTCTGAGATCAAGAACTTTCTCTCCAGATACATTTCTGCTGCTGACAAAATCTGAATGGACGACTTATTGGGAGAAACCAAAAATGGCAGATTGAATATTGTGTATATAATACAAAATATTGTGCTGTCTTAGTTCTAGACACAAAACTTTTGTACATCTGCAAGTGCTGACCAGAGCATGTAATAAAGTGTGATTCAAGCGGGAACTGTGGATGTGTTGATGTGTTGGGCTGATGGATGACCACACTGTAGAACATCTGAAAGGCTGAAGAGACTTAATTCGTAATAAGTCCACATGCACCCACCTATTGTGCATGCACTTTCCATCTCTTACTGGGTGTAGCTCAAGAACTCTCTCATTCTACAGCCCAAATGTAAAAAGTTGGATCATGTGATGTTTTCTCCCCTGTCCTACTGTTGGCTGGTTGGTTTGTTTGTAAGCAAGATTACACATGAAACAACAAAGGATGTCCACAAAACCTGGAGACAGGATGTGGGTCGGGGAAGAACTTTTTGGTGCGGATCTGGATCAAGGTGCAGAGCCAGGAATTTAAACACTTTATTTAACATTGGGAGATGTTACATTTAGGGAACTGGTATGTGCTCTCCCTCTCTCTGTGTGTGAGATAGAGAGAGCCATCAGCTGTGTCTATACTGTATGTTTACTTTTTTATTTTATGTTAGACATGTTCCTTCATTTAATTTTTTTTCTGCTTTCACTGCTTCAGAATATTAAATAAGAACCAGGAACAATTAAATAACAAATAGAAAACGCATCACCTAAATCTCGCGAGATTTGCTCGCAACCCGTGAGATCCTTGCCCGTCCCTGGCTCCACTTGTGACTGAGCATGTGTATGCGTTAGCAACTAGCATCCAGAAATGGCCGCAGACAAGCAAAACGAAGGGAAAGTTGTCCCCGCGGATGAAAATAAGAAGAATTCCTCAGACGGAGGACTCGGACTGGAGAGTATCCTTCTCAGCAGCAGACGTGAAACGACCTTTTCTTTTGTTTGTAATTTGCCGCAGCGAATTTGTGTCGGGCTCCGAGGCTAACGTTAGCTCCTTAGCTAGCTCGGTCAGGGGATAACGTTTTATAGGCGACGTGTCACAGTGAAGCAGAAGCTGAGGGGCTGATAGAGAAGGGCTTTTACAAGCCTGCTCAGGTGGAAAGGTGTCAGCTGTTAGGCTGTTAAGTAAAGCAGGAATATAAGCTGTTGTTCGATGAGTTTTGATTCGCTTTTAACTGTTGTAGCCTCTTTAGTTTTAGCAGCAGTGTTGTACTGTCAGGGTCTGAACGTGCAGTGCTAACATGACTGACATTCACTCATTGAAAGTGGTGATTAGATTTTGTCCCTTAACGCGGAATCACAGTCCTGCAAATCATCAAGGAGTCCCAGCAGCAGCATGGCCTCAGACACGGAGACTACCAGAGATACAGGTGAGTGAGTCCGGACACAGATGATCCAGAAACTGCTCCAACTGAGCGCTGCTGTCCACCGTTACTGTGGTGGTTCATGCAGAGGCCAGGAGAGGACATTCATGGATCTCATCTCTTAATCTGGAAAATAACTTTCAGCCTAAATTGGTTTCATTCATTTGCTTTGATTTGTTTATGTGACGGTATTTCTGTCTGAGAGCAGATTCTTGATTTATAAATAGAGTGTGAGTTGAATGTGTGGAAACCACTGCTGCCATATGGCTCACTCACACTGCTGGGTTATAAATAGCTCATTAATTCGTATGGTTTAAAATTGTGTAAAAAAACATAGAGTGGATTATTTTTTACACCAAATAATTCAGTGTAACTCATCCACCTTTATGTAGCATATAATGTTCAACCCATAATATTATTAATTTCTCAATACAGCTTCACTTACCACAACTTCAATAATAAGATTATAATTGAAATAACACTTCCTTGAAGAAAATCCCACATGAACTTGGATCATAGCTGTAAAATTGGGTCAGCACATTGTCCAGGGTTTGCCTTTCACATATGAACATATATCTCAACAACCGGAAAATGTGAAAAATTTACATTTTGTTTACAGCACAATGAGAGTAGAGATGTGTCGCCCTTTTCATTATAAGAAACTGCAATTGAAATATGCATTTATGATTTACTGTTATATAAACTTCTTTGTTTATCCATTTTCAGGGGCTACTGCTCTCGCAGGCTGCGTCGCCTGCGCAAGACCCTTGGCTTCAAGATGGGAAATAGACACAAGTTTGTTGGGAAGAAAATAACTGTCGAAATGCTTTCTGACAGCAGGTGAGCAAATGATGATTTGAGTTGGTCAATCAAATGCTGTGAATGGTTGGCAATGTGTGGCTCAGGAGGAAGAGTAGTTGTCCTTTGATTTGAAGGATCATGTTTCAATCTCTGGCTAGACATTGTCAAAATTTCCCTGAGCAAGACACTGAAATCTAAATTACTGTGTGATTTATGGGAGAATGAGATGCCATGTATCCTCAAGTGTCAGGGATTGTTGTGCTGAACCAAGGACTCATCGGGACATTGTATACATAGATTTACTTCCTTTTTAAATCCTTTTTTTGACATACATTGTATATTATATTTTTGGGTTATCAGAAGGTGGTCTGAACACTGGTGTGTTCCTTCCATCAATAGTTGAAGACTTGAAAATGTGATTGTTTTGCTTTATTCCACTCATTTTCCTTACATAGTCTCAAAAACACATGGAAATAACACTAAATTAAATCATAACTAATGTGTCCACTGAAAATAGTGTAAATATTGAAATTATTACAAATATATAATAATAATATTGTATTCTACCTAACAACTGATTCATCTCCATCTCCGGCCTTCAGGTACCTATTGCTGGTTTTGATGGAGGCAGAACGTGCATGGAGCTATGCCATGCAGCTGAAGCAGGAGGCCAATACAGAGCCACGTAAACGCTTCCACCTGCTGGCACGTCTACGAAAGGCTGCCAAGCACAGTGAGAAGCTGGAGAAGCTCTGTGAAAGCCCCCGAGTCGATGCTAAGACCAAACTGGAGGCACAGGTACACAAGACAGTCACATTGTCCTTCGAATGTTAAAATTTGTGATCATTTTGGTGCTCATTATTATTAACAATGTCATTGATACATAGAATTAAGTAAAGCCATGCTTACAGGAGCAACATTTTTCGTATTTTTACAACAGCCACTAATTTTTGCTTATTTATTGGATTTCAGGCCTACACTGCTTACCTCGGTGGCATGGTAGAGTTTGAACTGCAGGAATGGAAGCGTGCCATGGAGGCCTTCAACAAGTGCAAGTGAGTTTTAACATTGCAGTTTCCAATTAAAGTGTCAGAATAAATACATACAGATGTTTCTAATTATACGGGCAGAACAGATACATGTGCAGTGCCAGAATAAGTGCATATGTGTTTGTCATCAGTGGATTTTTATTAACTTTATGAAAAACAAAATATGAAAACCAACCTTTTTTTGTCTTCTTAGAACAATCTATGAGAAACTAGCCAGTGCTTTCACAGAGGAGCTGGCAGTTCTGTACCGCCAGCGTGTGGATGAGATATCGCCCAACATCCGCTACTGTGCTTACAACATTGGTGAGTAACAACCACTCCGATCCTCCTTAATATAACTGGCAGCCATTATAGACTCATGTAGGAAACCTGAGACGTTTTCTAGTACTTGTACATGTTGCAGTCTCCCAACACACACACACACACACACACACACACACACAC